CGCCGTGAATTGGAATCGACTCCATCGCTGTGAGCTGGGTTTGGCTTGGTTTTCTAACCATGTAAGCTCCTTCCTCGGGGGCCAGGAGCCCTAACAGCCCCCAGGGGGCAGATGGGGGAGCTAGGGTAGGGTGTCTGGGGGGCTGGGCCTGGTGCTGTCCATCCTACTAGGTGCCCAGTCCTGTGCTGGGTGCCAGGAGCAGTCCCCCCTTCCCTCCAGGGGGTGCAGGTGCTGTTTCACATGCAGCTCTCCCCAGGTTGCCTGCAGCCCCTGCTCTGAGCACCTCCTCTCCAGACCCTCAAGGTCCCCGAGAATAGGGGTCCCCCCTCCTGGGGGACACTGGCTTGAGGGGTGGCCACAGGAAGTGGAGGGGGGTGCGCAGGAAGCGTGTTATTTGTGAGGGAACTGAATGGGCAGCGGCATAGAGGAAGGCCCTTGGCCTCTGAGCCTGGAGCCTGGGTGGGGGACCCTACTCCCCAACTCCAGGTGTGTGGGAATCACCTAGGGGTGGAGCACATGAATGTAGGGAGCCAGAAGGCCTGACTGGCTCTGGGCAGCCCGAGCTGGGGCATAGGAGGCTTGACAAATGTACAGGAGGCTGGAAATGGGTCGGATGCCAAGGTCTGACCTGCCCAGACTCTGCCTTCCAACCCTGGGAGATGCCGGCACGCACAGCCCTGGCTGGGGCCCCAGTCGGTGAGAGGAGGGGGTCTCCTCCACAGAGCATTGGCCTCTCCACATGGTACCCCAGGGCCACAGACCTAGGGGCTGTGGGAGGAGTGGCAGGGCAGTGTATACCCCGAGGGGCATGGTGAGCAGAGGTCTCTGATCTGGGGGGTCTGGCTGTGGCAGGCTTCCTGGGGTAGCCAGCAGCCCCAGCCTCTGTATCCCCAGAGTGGAACAAAGGGCTGGGAGGGGTGGTGTCTGAGGCCGGAAGATGGGATGGAAATGTCTGGGGACACAGGTTGAGTGGGTGGGCCACGGTGAGGCGTGACCCAGGGCCGCGCAGGCAGGGGTGGGCTCTGGAGACTCTGGCCCCCACTTGGCTGGGCAGCAGGAGTTGGGTGGGGCTCACAGATCACAGGAAGGGAACAGAGTGAACAAGACTGTTCCCTCAGCCGCACCTGCAGAGCACCCTACCCCCGCCACCCCATCTCCTCCATGCTCAGTAGGGGACCCCTCAGGGTGCTCCTGGCTCCAGAATGGGATGG